CCTTTTCCTCCACAGCTACTCATGTACTTAACTCCACAGATACTGATGTACTTAACTCCACAGCTACTGATGTACTCAACTCCACAGCTACTGATGTACTTAACTCCACAGCTACTGATGTACTTAACTCCACTGCTACTGATGTACTTAACTCCACTACTACTGATGTACTTAACTCCACAGCTACTGATGTACTTAACTCCACAGCTACTGATGTACTTAACTCCACAGCTACTGATGTACTTAACCCTTTCAGCACGGCCAGGGTGTGTAACTGACCCGCGGAGCCAAAACCAGTGATTTTCGTGATTTTCCAAAAGTAGTCCTATTCACTCACAATTTTTTCTGCGGAATGCATAGGTTTCAGTGAGAACAATTCCCAACACAAAATTCCATATTTGGTCAATAGAAGCCAGTAAAACGAGTACAAAATATACGTATTTTTGATGAATTTTCGCATAAACACGGGTTGAACGTACCAGAGCATGCAGCTCATTTATACTAGAATGGCCAGGTGGATATGATGGTAAGAACTAGGTTTGACATAATTACGGTTTTGTTCTTGAGTAGATGATGACCAAATATGGTCATGTTTGCTGAAACCAGCTGAGGGGCGTCAGGAACTATTCAATGTGCATACGAATAGCTAGGCAACAGGTTCTTGCCGAACAGACACCGGCAGAGACATGCACATATTCACAACCATACAGATCTATCCAGCCATGCAATTCTCGCATTCACATTCACCCGTACACTCATGTACTCTATTGGACACATGTATGAAAGCGCCCCCCCCCCCCCCCCTCCACACACACACACAAATTATAGAATGTAGCTCACATAAATTATTGAATGCAGCTCACACAAAGTAGCTGAGCGCTGCAATACCACTACAGTGAACTAGCAGGTAGCTAGCAACTACATAAAGCCTGCCACGATCCTCAAGCGGTGACCAGACCTGAACACCCCTGACACGAGCGAGTACAGCTCTATTTCCCTCGGTAAGACTCCTGGAAACACTGAATGCAATACGAATGGCTAGGCAACAGGTTCTTGCCGAACAGACACCGGCAGAGGCATGCACATATTCACACCTATACAGACCTATCCAGCCATGCAATTCTCGCACTCACATTCACCCGTACACTCATGTACTCTATTGGACACATGCATGAAAGCGCACCCGAGGGCGCGCGCGAGTGCGCGCCCACACACACACACACAAATTATAGAATGTAGCTCATACAAATTATTGAATGCAGCTCACACAAAGTAGCTGAGCGCTGCAATACCACTACAGTGAACTAGCAGGTAGCTAGCAACTACATAAAGCCTGCCACGATCCTCAAGCGGTGCCCAGACCTGAACACCCCTGACACAAGCGAGTACAGCTCTATTTCCCTCGGTGAGACTCCTCGAAACACGGAATGCAGTACCCAGGATTCCCGAGGCAATCAGCGCACATGGTGCGGACATCCTTCCGGTTACCCTTGCCGTAGCAGACAACACACTGTTTCTGCGGATTAGCCTTTTTCTCGGTTGCCGGGATGTAGCGGAGGAAGTGGCTGTCCATGCGCTTCGTGCCTGTGGCTCCACCAGTTGCTGCAGCAGCTGCTTCCGCGTGAGCTACCATCTCCGCCTTGCCTTCGGCGATGAGGGCTTTCAGGGCGCGCTTCACAAAGTCGAAGTGCGTCATGCGGTTTGACTTCCTGTGCAGGATATACGCGTTCAGGAGTGCTTGCTCAATCAGATGCACGGCGAGCTTCTTGTACCACTTCCGGGACTTGCGTGCAGCGGTGTAGAACGACAGCATCTCATCATTTTTGTCAACTCCACCCATCTTCTTGTTGTAGTCCTGTACAAGACGAAGCTTGCGGACTGGGCGGCGCTGCCGATCTCGCTTGCCAGTTGGCTCTACGTTTGCCTTGTGCATCGTGGACAGAAAATGCACCTCCTTCGTGTCCTGCAACTTTATAAACATCATGCCACCACCGCTCCGGTACAGAAAGTGGCCTTTCTTTAGCCCCTTGAAATTTGCTATACGCTTCGGTAGTCCGATCCGGTTCTTGCGAATGGTACCGCACACTCCCGTTGCGTTGCCCTTGAGGTAGGTGGCTATCGGGATACTCGTGTACCAGTTGTCCACGTACAGCTTATACCCCTTCCCGAGAAGCGGCTCAACGAGCTTGTGCACTACCGCACCGGACACGCCGAGCTCCTTGACCTTCTCAGGGCAGAAGGTTTCGTTGTCCTTCCCGACGTAGACAATCAGATTGAAGAGGTAACCGCTGTCTTCGCAGAGCGCATAGATTTTCATCCCGAAGCGTGCTCGCTTCGACGGAATATACTGGCGGAATGATATCCTTCCCTTGAACGCCACCAGTTCCTCGTCAATTGAAATGTACTCGTTGGGAGTGTAAACGCTCATGAATCGCTCCTGAAGCAACGTCAGAAGAGGCCGTATCTTGGAGAGCTTATCGTTGGGATCTTCTTCAGCGTTGTCCATGAAGTGCAGAAAGTTCATGATAGAGGTGAAGCGCTCGCGCGGCATCGTGCGGCTGTAGAACGGTGTGGCGATGATGGGATCTGTGCTCCAATAGTGGTCAAGCTCGGGCTTAGGAACAAGGCCCATGTTCAAGAACAAGCCCAGGAACACTTTCATTTCGGCTACGGTAACGGGTGTCCACGAGCGGGCGAGGCTGCGCCGGGCCAGTGTTTCAGCGTTAGCGTCGATGTATGCTCTTGCAAACCGGTTTGTCTCCGTCACTAGCATCACCCAGAATTGTGCAGTGAAGAACAGCTTGACATAGTCCAGTGGAGTTGGATCGTCCGGGAGAGGCATCTTGATCCCTGGCTGGCCAGTAAATGGTGGCACATTAGGTTCCACATTCTGTTTCACCCAGATACCTGCAGTAACAAAATATCCATGACAAATCCTATGATGTTCCCAGTGTCACACACAAATGCTAATAATTATAATAATTTGCATTGTACAATTCTGTCCGCTGATTGAGTTGTACATGTGTATGAATACTAAAAATATAATTCAAATTTGGAACTCACAACGATAAGCATTTGCAACACAATACACATTTACATGCATTGTGAATGAGGAAAAATGTCCGTGCATGATCATTGAGCGATCAGCTGAGTGACAAGATTTTTAGTACAATTATTTGAAAATTTGAAATTATGAGTACTATTTTCAGATCCATACGCACACTGACCTTCACTTCCATCGTCGCCCTCAGCCAGTGCTTCGACTGCTTCCACGTGCGTTTTAGCAGATATCCCCTCGTTCTCACCGTCACTGTCGCTGCTGGCGCTACCTACATCGTCATCCGCGGCGTCTCCTACGACATCGTCGTCGTCCAATTCATTTTCACTATCGCCTGGCGACGCTGCGCGATTTTCAGGCAGATCTCCATCTTCCTCCGACAGAACGATGTCGTCTTCAGACAATGTCGGCTCGACATCACTGTCAGGGTCGAGTACGACAAGGTCGAGGACATGATCGAGATCGTCTGCACCATATCGACGCCGCGCCATGACAGCAAATTGTCAAAATTTCTATTGTTCAAATAATTTCGCACGCGACATCTATGTAGGCGTACATAGCCGCACATGCGCGTGCGCCCGTCAGTACTATCGTAGAACTGTCGACGTTCATCCAGCACGTCACTGGTCCACGTAGGGATAAGATCCGTCGACCACGGATGTCTCGAGAGTACGTTCATTTTCACTGTACGCATCACGTATATATACGTGATCCGTGGGCCAGTTACATGTACCATCACGTACATATACGTGATGCGTGCTGAAAGGGTTAACTCCACTGCTACTGATGTACTCAACTCCACTGCTACTGATCGATGTAGCCCGACTCCTGCACTGGGGTAGGTTGATCTTCTTCTTCTTTTTTAAAACTTTTATTCACAAACCCAACTCGTAAAATAAATAATTTTGTGGACAAAAACACACAGCTACTGAGCAGGGGCTGCACTGGGCAGCAGTGATGGTGAGGTACCAGGGGCTCCACCGACCAAAGGTCTCGGCTTCAATGCCACACGCACGCACCAGGAAAAAGGAACAGAAATGTAAAGCGAAGCTAGATCTAGCTATGGGGAAGTAGAATGGGTAAAGGTACCGGTTGGTGTTTAGAAAAATAAAAACAAGATGAAAAGAGATTGTAAATTATCAGTGTTTCTCCACAGCTACTGATGTAGCCCGACTCCTGCACTGGAGTAGGTTGGTCTCCATTGCTACTGATGCCCCATACTTGCACTGCAATACGTAGGTCTCCACAGCCACTGACATCCTCACTATGGTGGATTAGCATCCACAGCTGCTGGTCACATGATCCTTACTGTGATCGGTGTGTTGACCACTAGATGTGTGCACAGGTGCATGCACAACACCCTTTTTTTTTACCCCTGTTCTGCTAGCTCAGTACCAGCACTTTCCATGCTTTTTTTGTCTACTTGTAATTTCTCCCGTCCAACTCAACTGGTTGTGCCGTGCGTGGGTGTGGGGAAGACACTAATCTCAGGGCGCACACTAAGCATTCTCGGTTTGACGACATTCTGAGGCACCCAACATGGGGCTCGACCCCAGAACCGTGAGGTTAAGAGTAGCATACTCTACCAACTGTGCTACACTGCCGATCTTCAAGTCCTCACGGTGGCGGCCCGGTGGGGTCCATGATTAATATTTTGATCGGTCCGCTGTCATCGGATTCATAACCATAAACTTTGCAGTGTAGCTGGTGCAGGTGCAGGTGCTGGTGCTGTTGCTGGCGGCGGTGGTGGCTATGCGCACACACACTGTTGGTGGCTTGATTGAATAGCCACCTGAACTGGTTAAGCACCTGCGCACCTGTCACCTCTACAAAGTCTCAGACAATTTCCATGGCATAGGCATTGTTTGGGTACCAGTCACATGTACATACAAAGTGGGGATAATTGGATGAAAATTCTTCAAGTACAAGTCTGTGGTCTAACCCATGTCTTCGGCCTTTTTCGTCATGGTTTCCAGCCATTTCTCACGGGGCAAGCAGAGCGTGTCATTACCACACCTGCCTACTTGCGAGGTGTCCGAGTCCAAACTACACCTGCACACAGACACACACATAGTGTGAACACACATGTGGCAAACACAAACACGTACACACACAAATACACACACAAAACACATACACACACAAAACACACAAGCATACACACCTCAGACCTCATGTAGTGCTGGGATTATTGCTATCATAGTGGTCAGTGTTATGTTGTAGAGTATAGGCTATAGCATTAACGCCATCATACTATAGTGTAGAGTTTGGCACATTCCGTATTGTGTTATAGGCCGAGTGTCGCATCATGCAGAATCAGAATACAGATCTTCTGGAACCAAGCAGTTGCTCTGGCAAGCGTGGGCTACGGTACTACATTGGCGCAGTGAACCGGCAGTCAAGCATCTGGACGCTATGGCGAAGGGCCGGCCACCCAAGGAATTTCATCCTGACTTCGGACAAGACACGGGTGCCGACTTCGACCTATGGCTGGAGGATGTGAACGACTACATGAAGATCTGTCAAGTTTCGACTCCAGAGGACAAAAATTGTCTCTTCTTGAATCTGGCTGGTCTTGGGATCAGGAAGATTGTCAAGGGTCTGGTTGTTCCCGCTCCAAGTGATGCAACACACGACGACCCAGGAGACACATACAAAGCCCTTAAAGAGGCAGTCAGTGCTCATTTTCGCCCATCCAGAAACACGACGTCTGAAAGGCACAAGTTTCGGCAGATTAAACAGACGCCAGATGAATCTGTCTCCACCTTCGTTAGTCGGTTACGCGAGAAGGTGGAGTAGTGTGACTTTGCAGCGACAGACGTGGACTCGGTCGTCAACACACAGGTGCGTGACCAACTGATTGCAGGGTTGCGATCGCAGGAGCTGCGACGGGAACTGCTAAAGGAGGCAAAGCTGACGCTAGCGGATGCCGTTTCAAAGGCTGTGGCCCTAGAAGCATCTTTCTCCGGCTGCAAGCTATACGAAAGTCGGACGAGTCCAGGAGGCTTGGAGACATCAGCGCCTAGAGGACCAGAATTGGCTGCTGTAGTTTCGGGCAGCGTCTCGGGTGGAATCGGAAGTGGTGACCGGCGCGCCATGGGGAAGACGTCCACCAAGAGCCTAGGATGCAAATACTGTGGTCGTGTACATGCCAAAGGCAAGCAATTTTGCTCGGCTGCACATGTAAGGTGTCGGGACTGTGGCAAAGTAGGTCATTTCACAGCAGTCTGCCTCTCCAGCAAAGCTCATGCGGTGCAGGATGAGGACAGTGAAGCCGCGCGAATTGTGTACGATTCGATTTACGCTTGCAGCGACAAGGCAGCCAGTGGTCAATTCACTATGACGCTCATGGTGAATGGCAGGCCGTGCGTGGGACTTCTCGATACCGGCGCAACACAGACAATCCTGACGGATGAAGTGGTACAGCCCACTCGCTGCAGTGATCGTAAGCTGCGCGCGTACAATGGCGGCGAAGTCAAGACCCTTGGCATGGCGGATGTCGATGTTGCCGTCGGGGAAAGGTCAATCCAATGCGAATGTTTCGTTGTACCGGCAGGCCGGCGAACTGTACTGTTTGGCCAGGATGTTATCGCACAACTGGAGCTGCTGGTGTACACCCACCTGGCAGACACGGCACGGCTGGTGGACACTGCTCCCGTGTCCATCACTGTCGACCAGAAAGCACGGCCTGTGGCGCAGCTAGCTCGTCGTCCACCGTTCAGCGCCCAAGGCTGACATCGAAAAGGAGCTGACGCGATTAGTGAATGCGGACATTATTGAACCAGTGAAAGAGGCGTCGCCCTGGGTGTCGCCTGTCGTCCCTGTGCGTAAGTCGAATGGTTCACTCCGATTATGCGTAGATTATCGGCAATTGAACAAATCTATCATTAGGGAGCGGCACTGCTTACCTACTGTAGATGAGATCACGGGAGAGCTAGCAGGCGCGCAGGTCTTCTCAGTTTTAGATGCGGAATCTGGTTTTCATCAATTGCTATTAGAGGAAGAATCCCGATTCTTCACAACCTTTGCTTCGCATTGCGGCTTATACCGATTTAAGAGGTTGCCGTTTGGCATTTCTTAAGCTCCTGAAATTTTTCAACGTGTTGTTTCTGACATCTTGGCTGGTTTACCCGGTGTTACTGTCTATATAGACGACATCTTGATCTTTGGCAAGAATCGAGTGGAACATGATGCTCGTCTAGCGAGTGTTCTAGAGCATTTGAGGGCAGCGAACCTCAAACTGAACTGAGACAAGTGTAACATCGGCAAGGATCAGGTGAAGTACCTCGGACACATGCTAACCAAAGACGGAGTTCAAGCCGACAGCAGCAAGCTCAGCGCTATATCCGAGATGGCACTGCTAAAGACAGTGGCAGATGCTCAGCGCTTCCTGGGTATGGTCACCTACCTCGGAAAATTCGTGCCTTGTCTGACCGGTGCCACAGACCCTCTGCGTCGGCTGATGAAGCGTGAGCCGTTCACTGTGAATGAGAGCCTGTTGAGCGCATTCGCAGCTGGCAAAGAAGCAGTGGTCTCCTCCTTGCAGACACTCGCTTATTTCCAGCCATCTATGGACGTAGCAACAGCCATCAGCTGTGACGCTTCACCCACCGGCCTTGGGGCGATATTATGGCAGCAGAGCGAGTCAGGTCAATGGCTGCCGATTACATGTGCCAGCCGCACACTCACAGACGTCGAGTCACGGTACTCTCAAATGGAGAGGAAGATGCTCGGGGTAGTGTTTGCGCTAACGCGGTTTCGTCAGTATGTCCTGGGTCGCCACATGCAGGTACACACCGACCACAAGCCTTTAATTCCGATCGTCCAGAAACCATTTGACGAAGTTCCCCCTCGACTCCAACGGTGGTTGGTGGCTCTTATGCCTTACGATTATACCCTGAAGCACGTGCCGGGTAAGGAGCTATTCTGCACTGATGCGCTGTCCAGAGCCCCAGTTCCAACAACGGATGCTTCGCCTGCAGAATCGCGTTCTCTACACGAGTATGTTGGTCTAGTGCTGGAGGCAGCCCCGGTAAGTCTCGACGACATTCGCTGTGCTGCTCGAGATGACCCAGTCGCAAGCAAAGTAACCCAACGCGTGCTGACTAATTCATGGCATGATCTCTCGTCGTGCGAGCAGCAGTACTACCTCATCCGAGATCAGCTAACTGTGGTCGACGGCATCTTGATGATGGGCGGGCGGTTCGTGATTCCGGAAGGAATGCGATTAGCAATTATGACACTGGCTCACGAGGGGCATCCAGGGCAAGAGGCGTTCTTAGACACTCTTCGCCAGAGAGTCTGGTGGCCAGGGATGACCGGAGACGCAGGAATCTTCGTGGAGCGTTGCTCCGAGTGCTGGAGAAGGCGCGCAAACAGTCCGCAGGAGATTCTACCGACCGAAATTGTTGGCGTCTGGAACAAACTGGCAATCGACATCGTGACAATTGACGGATATTCTATTCTTTCGGTCATCGACTACGGGTCTTGGTATCCTCTCCTCAAGATACTGCGCTCGACTACCTCTGCCGCAGTCATCGAAGAGCTTGAGGGCATTTTTGCTACTTTTGGCATACCCGATACCCTTGTTTCCGACAATGGGCCGCAGTTCGTCTCCGGGGAGATGGAGACTTTCCTCAGTCGCCTTTGCATTTCCCATGTTCGCTCCAGCCCACGGTACGCCCGCTCGAACGGCATGGTGGAGCGACTACACAGGGTGGTGAGGGAGAGATTGGCTGCTTTGAAAGCACACCTTTCATTCCGACGCCGGCTCAACCAAGTGCTGTTTGACATCCGCAGCTCACGTCACAGGATGTTGGGCACATCACCGAGCGCAGCACTGTTCTCTCGGCAGCTGCGAACAAGAATCCCAGCTCGTATAGACCCTATGATCGTCAATCCACAGCATCAGTTGAAGGCTAAAGCAGGCATGGCCAACGATCACGATTCTCGACGAGGTGTACGCATGCTGCCTGACCTAAGGCCTGGCACGAAGGTTGTGGTGCAGGATGGCTACTGCTACACGGCAAGGCCATGGACGGTGGTGAGTCAGTACGGTCGTCAGGTTGGAGTAACGGATGGCTCCCGATACCTACTCCGAAACCGGCAGCATGTCCGCGAGTACGTTAGCCCTCACAAACCCGTCGAGTGTCCGCCTATGCCATTATTACCTGAGTCGAGACAGGATACGTCTTCTGCGCAGAGGTCGGTGTTGACCCCTCCGCATCCAGTGGATTCACCCCCGGCGTCGCATCAGCCTTGTGTCACCCAGAATCCTGAGCTCCAAGATACATCCGAACGGCCGGCGACCGAACAAACCACTGCTGATTGCGAACCCGTGGCGTCCAGCAGCGGGACCGCCGTTTCATAGATGGGGCAGTCACCCGCTCCGGACGGCAGATCAAGCTGACAGAGAAGGCCCGTCTGTATTCGGACAGTCTGCGCTAGACATAGTATGAGCTTTGGTATTTACCACATTGCGTTACTTAAGTTCTGCTCAGCCTTCATTGTGTTCTTCGCTTATACTTATAGCCTTTCTGCTTATCTCTTCTTTATTGAGAGGGAGTAATGTAGTGCTGGGATTAGTGCTATCATAGTGGTCAGTGTTATGTTGTAGAGTATAGGCTATAGCATTAACGCCATCATACTATTGTGTAGAGTTTGGCACATTCCGTATTGTGTTATAGGCCGAGTGTTGCATCATGTAGAATCAGAATACAGATGTTCTGGAACCAAGCAGTTGCTCTGGCAAGCGTGGGCTACGGTACTACACCTCACACCTGCCCATCGCAGTAGCGATGATAGCGAACAGCTATGTTAGACATAGCAACTAGTGCTGGGATTACACCATTCAACAGCTTGCAAGGCTGATGAATTGCGCCTCAAATTTTAGCCTGGTATCCACCACACAGCTGATTGAAGTTACTTTTTCTGGCTAGTGAGTCCCTATTTTTCATTCTTTTTTCATTTTTCATTTTTTTCATTTTTTTACTTCTTTTTTTCTTTTTCGACACACACACACACACACACACACACCACACTACATACTCCGGCATACACTGGCTGTTGGTAAACACCCAGGAAAATGAAAGAAGAGCTAGGAGAATGAGAAAGAGAAGAAAGACATGTGCGACCATAATCGTCTGGAATAGAACCCGCAACCTCTCGATTGGAAATCGACTGCACATACCACTGCACCATATGGGACACACACACACACACACACACACACACACACACACACACATAAACTAACTAACAAACTCACTCACACACACACACACAAACTAACTAACAAACTCACTCACACACACACACACACACACACACACACACACACACACACACACACACACACACAAACAAACACATACACACACACACACACACCTCAGACCTCAGACCTGCCCATCGCGGAAGCGATGATAGCGAACAGCTATGTTAGACATAGCAACTTGTGCTGGGATTACACCATTCAAGAGCTTGCAAGGCTGATGAATTGACCGCCACTAATTTTAGCCTGGTATCCACCACACAGCTGATTGAAGTGGTTTTTTTCTTTCTTTTTTCTGGCCAGTGAATCCCTGTTTTTCATTTTTTCATTTTTTCATTTTTTACACACACACACCCACACAAACTAACTAACAAACTCACACAAAACTTGTACTTGTTGTACTTCTCGCTGCGAAACTGGTCACGTGGGTCTCCCCGGGAGAGGGTAGAGAGATTCAAAAGGAATCTTGGAAAGATGACTCAATTGGCTATTGAACAGCCCAACACCTGACACCCCACGAAATCCCCCAAATCTGCTTGAACTTGGAAATAATCCCAGTTATGGGCTCACCACACCTCAGTAAGTGGGTGAGGACAAGGTGCAGAAAAAAGATCAGGGTATCTGTCCCGGGATCAAACTGCATTTACCCCTGCCCCAGGGTAGGTAGTACTAAGGCTACGACGAGTGTGGGTGGCTAAATCAGAGTGGATCAGATATAAACTTTACTAGCACCATTGATTACACAAGATCTCACACACACACACAGGAGCGTCGCAGGGCAGTGGGGAGTGGTACGACGGGGTGTGGGGGTGTTCCCTGGGAAAGTATTTTGCATTTTTTGGCCAACAGGGCAAGGTTTTTGCGCTCTTTTATTGCTTTTTGGATGAATTGGACGGACCATCGATGCATCCTGGACGAAACATGGTACGACCATGGTCGCGCTTGTCGTATCGTGTGTGACGCCCCTTCACACACACACACGCACACGACACACACACACACACTCACATATGCACATACGCACATACACATAAACACACGCGTGCGCCACACACACTTGTACTCAAGCTTGCTACTAGGGCACTTCCAGAAACTGGTCACTTGGGTCTACCTTGGGGAGAGGGGAATGCCACATTCACAAGGAATGTTGGGAAGATGACTCAATTGGCTATAAAACAGTCCAAAAGTCGACAAACCTCTCCAACCTGGGGATGAGGTTGTAAATTGGCCCATTTGCAAACTCAGAGCACTCCAGTACACGAGTGAGGCTGAGGACAAGGTCCTAAAAAAGGATTGACAGCATCAGGACATCCATTCCAGGTTCCAACGGCATGTACCTCCTTCCCCCGCCCTACCCTGCCACCTGCCCTGCCCTACCCTGCCCTGCACCACCATGACCTGCCCTGCCCTACCGTGCCCTGCCCTGCCCTGCCCTACCGTACCCTGCCCTGCACCACCATGACCTGCCCTGCCCTCCCGTGCCCTGCCCTAGCCTGCCCTGCCCTGCCATGCCCTGCCATGCCCTGCCCTGCCCATGACCATGGTCTGTCACAAGTTGCACTAAGATCTACTCACACCCTGTCTGGAGCTGCCTCTACGTCCTCAATCAGAGCTGGCATTTGCTCAAAGTCACCAGGACTGCGTTCTGTCCTGATAATGCTATCACTGTCCGGATACCTCAGCCAAGGGTGCATGACTAGTTCCTAAGAATCACAGACCAACAGAACACACACACACACACACAGGCATGCAGACAGATATGCAGACAGACAAGCAGGCAGACACACAGACAGACAGAAATACACACATACACACACACAGAAGAACTGACACACTGAGGTAGACGCACGTGACATACAGTTAGCCAGAAGTACCACAGTCGAAACCGGATAAGACATACTCACAGTTGAACCCGCCAGAAATACTTCCTATCTAGGGTACGAGTACAGAGTACTTTCCCTCCATACCACAAAACATGTGACAGGAGTCTTAGCCAAGTACAAGTGCTGGTTTAGCAACGGTTATCACTTTACTTTAATCTCGGTGGCTGACGCGATTCAATTTTTCGAGAACAGGGATGCGGATGCCTTTGTTCGCAGCACGTTTGGCTATGTGTGACGGGCCTCCTCAACCTACACGTTTGGGAGACACACCCATGATAAACAGTGTGGTTCGGATGGAGTGGATCCGGGAGTTTTATTAGCTACTAGTAGCCGCTCCAGGAGGTTGTTGGCCTTGGAGAGGAGATGGGCTCCTCCAAGGTCAAGTCAACAGTCATAGCCCTTTGGAACATCTATGTGTTGTAGACCGTGAGAGACAGAAAGAAATGCACGAGATGCGCGATGGGAGGAATGTCCAAATTGAAATTGAAATGATTGCAGTCACCACTCTAGCTAGACGTGTTCGGAGCTTCAAACTTAGTACAAATGTACCATTTGGTTCATGTACGAGCCACTTTCGACTGACCTGTGGGCTGTGCTTGCCATGGCCCACGTGTTGTCCTGCATTGTGACAACAGTCACGCGACACTACAAAAAAAACTTGTACTGGGTACGGTAGTGTGCGAGGCACCACCCTCATACAGTGCAGTACAGACAGTAGTACGTGTACAGCAAGTTATTATTATTATTATTATTATTATTATTATTATTATTATTATTATTATTATTATTATTATTATTATTATTATTATTATTATTATTATTATTATTATTATTATTATTATTATTATTATTATTATTATTATTATTATTATTATTGTAAGAAAGGTTTGCTCCCCACACCGGAGCTCGCGCTATTCCGCCGACTTTACTTGACACTTGACTGACTCACGACTGCCATCCAGAGCACACGAGAAGTCCATCGAACCTTCGACTCGGCAAACCTGCAAGAAAGCACCACTCCCTGCTCAATACACAGTGTTTCGGGGAATTCACCCCTCATCAGTTGAGCTTGAGTAGGCTGAGGAAGATTGTGCCTGAAGAGCACCACTTATATAGTGCTCTCCAGGCACAAACATCACCAGGGATACAAACTTACAGAGACGCTCCGCTTCCAGCGCGACAAACACCTCGTGAACACCAGATAGCAGCGTGAGTCAGTGTCGCTCCTGGACGGTGAGACAGACGTCGAGGACCCTCGGTCATTCGCAACGCTGTCACCTCCAAACCAACTAGTCGCCAGCCCGCGCTGGGCACAACAGTACGAAGTAGTGGTTGCGACTTCGACGATGATTTTGTAAGAAAGGTTTGCTCCCCACACCGGAGCTCGCGCTATTCCGCCGACTTTACTTGACACTTGACTGACTCACGACTGCCATCCAGAGCACACGAGAAGTCCATCGAACCTTCGACTCGGCAAACCTGCAAGAAAGCACCACTCCCTGCTCAATACACAGTGTTTCGGGGAATTCACCCCTCATCAGTTGAGCTTGAGTAGGCTGAGGAAGATTGTGCCTGAAGAGCACCACTTATATAGTGCTCTCCAGGCACAAACATCACCAGGGATACAAACTTACAGAGACGCTCCGCTTCCAGCGCGACAAACACCTCGTGAACACCAGATAGCAGCGTGAGTCAGTGTCGCTCCTGGACGGTGAGACAGACGTCGAGGACCCTCGGTCATTCGCAACGCTGTCACCTCCAAACCAACTAGTCGCCAGCCCGCGCTGGGCACAACAGTACGAAGTAGTGGTTGCGACTTCGACGATGATTTTGATTTTGATTTTGATTTTGATTTTGATTTTGCGGCGGAATAGCGCGAGCTCCGGTGTGGGGAGCAAACCTTTCTTACAAAATCATCGTCGAAGTCGCAACCACTACTTCGTACTGTTGTGCCCAGCGCGGGCTGGCGACTAGTTGGTTTGGAGGTGACAGCGTTGCGAATGACCGAGGGTCCTCGACGTCTGTCTCACCGTCCAGGAGCGACACTGACTCACACTGCTATCTGGTGTTCACGAGGTGTTTGTCGCGCTGGAAGCGGAGCGTCTCTGTAAGTTTGTATCCCTGGTGATGTTTGTGCCTGGAGAGCACTATATAAGTGGTGCTCTTCAGGCACAATCTTCCTCAGCCTACTCAAGCTCAACTGATGAGGGGTGAATTCCCCGAAACACTGTGTATTGAGCAGGGAGTGGTGCTTTCTTGCAGGTTTGCCGAGTCGAAGGTTCGATGGACTTCTCGTGTGCTCTGGATGGCAGTCGTGAGTCAGTCAAGTGTCAAGTAAAGTCGGCGGAATAGCGCGAGCTCCGGTGTGGGGAGCAAACCTTTCTTACAAAATCATCGTCGAAGTCGCAACCACTACTTCGTATTATTATTATTATTATTATTATTATTATTATTATTATTATTATTATTATTATTATTATTATTATTATTATTATTATTATTATTATTATTATTATTATTATTATTATTATTATTATTATTATTATTATTATTATTATTATTATTATTATTATTATTATTATTATTATTATTATTATTATTATTATTATTATTATTATTATTATTATTATTATTATTATTATTATTATTATTATTATTATTATTATTATTATTATTATTATTATTATTATTATTATTATTATTATTATTATTATTATTATTATTATTATTATTATTATTATTATTATTATTATTATTATTATTATTATTATTCAATGATGTGTTACGAGAACAAAATACAGTGCCAAAATAGAAAGAGGGAAGACACATGTAGTTGCGTTAAAATTGTTTTCGTAGGTGCACAGCATGTTTGTTTGTCTCACTACACAGTTTTAGCGTTATAATTATTAGTTTTTCACCCACCGTTGCACTTAGCTCTCACTTCACTGCTATTGTCTCACCTTCCCTCTTTCTATTTTGGCACTGTATTATTATTATTATTATTATTATTATTATTATTATTATTATTATTATTATTATTATTATTATTATTATTATTATTATTATTATTATTATTATTATTATTATTATTATTATTATTAGTTTCCATCATGAGTTTGATTCCATCGTGAGTTTGATTCCATCGTGAGTTTTGATTCTATTTGCTATTTTTCGTTCCATTTTTGAGCTCATATTTTATTTTCCTGATTTCTTCTCCAGTGTATGTTGTATTGCATAATTATTATTATTATTATTATTATGACGACGACTTTATTCACTCCCAAAGCAGAAAAAGAAAGCTTGAAAGGAGGCATGAAGCACAGCACCGGGATCCATATGACCCAAGGGTGAAGCACCAATCAATGAAGATAAAAGAAAATCCTGAACCAAATTTTGATAAACTTCATGAGAGAAAAATTCAAGTATACCAACTTCGATACTCACATAAAATCACAGTCATGTATAACAGAACTACTCAAGTAGTAAACACCAAGCATGCTGCACATGGGACACTCCAAGCAAGACAAACTCAGACGAGATAAAACGGCATATGCAGAGAAAGACAATACATGACTGGGGGCATATGGCAGAAATTCACGCCTCTCGGCTCGTCACACAGCACATGATGCACCACAATCATAAAACACACAGACTGAGACACATCGAGACATTACGGGCAGGCTAACATAAGGTCAACCGACCGTTCCGACCATGCCACTCTCCCATCCATGACCAGTCACCGACCGCACAATTCTCAGGGTGCCCAGAATAGCACATTGCTGCAACCGCTGGATCACGGACGCGTGGAGCCCAAGGCTTAAGATGTGGCTGCGGCTCGTTCCTGACACACCACCCAGAGCACCAATGATAACTGGAACAATAGTTATCTTTTTGTTCCAGATCCTCCTCAGCTCTGCTGCCAAGGGCAGGTATTTGCTGATCTTCTCCTGCACCTTCTCATTGACCCTGTGGTCCAGTGGGACACTGACGTCCAAGAGCAGTGCCCGATCATCCAGAACCAGCACCAGGTCTGGTCTGTTCGCCTTTATTACTCGATCTGTGGGAATGGAAATCTCCCACATCAGCTTGCAACTGGCAGAACTTGTGACCTGCACCAGCTGCTTACTGCTGGGTAGTCCATGCTGCTTACACAGCGCACGATGCAGGGCCTCGACCACAAAGTTATGCCGGGCAATGTATGCAGTCCGTGCCAGGGCTGGACAGCAGGCGATGATGTGGTCCATATTTTCTCCGGGTGCACCACATACACGACAGAGGTCCACGACATCATGCCTCTTGTGGACATGGCGCATATTGTTTCTCGTGGCAATCACCTGATCCTGGCAAGCAATGAGAAAGCCTTCCGTTTCAGGACGCATTGTCTGGGATCTGAGACAGGAAAACGAGAGCTGCATGTCCAGGATGCCATCAACACGTGCCCAATAGCGACCATGAAGAGGCATCGCTCGAAGTTCACGGCGGCGGTTGTCATTGAGGGCCTGTTTAACAGTCTCTTTGTTAGCGGTGTCCAGGCTCGTCAGGCGAAGGCGCTGCAGGACAGTATTTGCCAGCTTTGGTATTGATTTTCTAGAGGGACGTGATTCATGGTGCTGGAGAACAGCGGCCAGGGCAGGGACATCTTCCCGATCCTTCAGGTACTGAGCTAGCCGGATGCAAGTACGGTCATGGAGATCTACGATGCATACTAGGCCACGACCTCCCTCACTCCGCGGTAGATATAGGCGACGGATTGAGGCACGTGGGTGGTGGGCCCTGCTAGCAGTCAGAGCCTTCCTCACTGTCCTGTCCAGCGAGCGGAG